TCTTTTCTGATATCATTTCTCTCTCTCTCTCTTGTCTTTTTTTTTTTTTTTTTTTTTTTGGCGAAACTTGACATGCTGATTTGCTTCGTTTCTCTTTGTTTCTGAACAAATAAATTATTTCCACAATTCTAAAGAATCTAGTGCTAAGCAATATGAAAATTCTGGTCTTGGGACTCTCACATTAAGCTGTTTTAATCTCTCTGTAACTTTTCCCTTATAAGAGGAAAGAATAATTTGAATTTACAGAGTTTTTGTGAAGGAAAAGGAATGTGGAAAAAATCAGTAGGTATATGATTACAAAGTCAGACACTATGAACACCCAAATAAACTCAATAAAATAACTTTATTAGCAGGGCAGCAATTTAGCAATACTAAGTATCTAAGTGACAATACAGCAGAACAATAAGATAATAAATAGGTAGACAGTGTTTGCTCCCTATCAGTCCTCTTGCCAGAAGGAAGTAGTTCAGTTTAAAAATATTACGGTAGTTTAGCTAATGATCTCTTTCCTAACAAGCTGCGTTAACATCAAATTTAACTTTGAACAGATAGCTTTAGTATTTGCTAATAATCATTTACATCATTTTGTAGCTCGTAATGTCATTTTTTTCTGCATAATAAAAACATTGTGTAAAATGCGAAAGATAAAACTTAAAAACAAGTTCATTTTCCTAGTTTAGCACCTTATAAAAACACTGTTTTTCCAGCAATATTATGAAATCGGCTAAGCATTTTGAGATATATCCCATTCACTTCTTTCTGCTGAAACCAGACAAGGCCTGTGGTTTCAAGGGAAAACCAGCTGAAGAGCTCAAGTGAATTCAAACAAAAARCTGTTTTCACACGGCCTCCTGTGAACTGAGCAGAAATGAGCAAGTCTGGCACAGCTCAATGTTCTCCTGCAAGACATGCACAAAGGGCCTAGTTCTGAGGGTGCTGAAAGTCTCTAGGTACTGAGCAGTGCAGGATCAGGCCCAGATTGCTAACGACTTTTCATAGGACAGTGGAGATTAACTACAATATCACTCCTACAGTCATTTGCACCCTGAATGAAACAGGAAAAGCTTTTTGACCTTGCAAGGAAAAGGTTTCTGCCTTTTCCTTTCTGCTGTGAACAGAGCCTTTTCTTTTCCCTAGGGAAAAAAAAAAAAAAAAAAAAGTCTTTTTCTCGCTAGGTTTGACTTGGAAATGCTGAGGATGTGTTATTTGACTTGGAAATGCTGCGGATGTGTTATTCCCTCTAGAGAATGACAAGCTAACAATTAGACTTCTTTTGTAGACGACTACCTTTTTGCTGTAAAACCAATAAACTATTGAGGTGGAATAAACCTCAATACCATGCGTCTTCTCACTGTCCAGAAAAAGCTCCAGTCCCAGGCTGCTCTGACACACTGAAGCAATAGCCATCAAACTGGTGTGCTCTTTTGGCCACTCCCTATAGCTGCCTGACAATTTCCGCAGTCAGGAAAGTATGTGGAATCRTGGAACAGAATAGCTTCTCCTCCCTGCTCTGCCTCAAAAGAAAGCAAAACAGCCTAATGGACAACTATAGTCATCTTTCATGAATGTTAACATACCAAAAGTGATCATCATCTCTATTATTGCTGCAACTATTACTAGCTTTTAGAGTTAGGATGCACAAATTACATTTGCCATACCTCAGAAACATATTTTTTCTTCTTACAAAAATCTTTACTGTGCTATCGATTATGACAAGAAAAACAGCAAGTAAAATGGACAAAACTACAGTAAACTGGATTTTTCCTGAATGCCAATATGAAGTGAAAAGGGAAGTTTAGACTCTTGCCTGTCCTTCTATGGAAATCAGCATCAGAGAATTTGAAGGATTAAAACTCTGAATTTTGGTTCAGAAGCTTACCTTAGAAAACTGTATATTCAGATGATATATGAAGTTTATTAAGGCCATGGTTTACAAGGTCTTTTTAAAGATGTCTAAGAAAATTCTCATGTTCCTGACTTTTCCCAGAGTTGTCAATTCCGTTATCTGCAGTCAATTAAGTCTCTTGACTCAAATGAACCCTTAAACATTCATTAAGGTAAGTAAGAAGGAAAACAAATTATAAGGGTCCAACAAAGATTTTGTCTACTGCTCCTTCAACAGGATCAGACTGTTTGTGTTGCTGTACACCAACAGATAAGTAGCTAGTTACAAGCTAACAAACAGGACATATTTTGAATTTTGCAGCCTTTGCATGCTTCTGAGTATACCAAGAGAAACAGAGTATCTATGGCCTACTTAATCTCTACATTGAGCGGGGAAAAAAATTCCAGCCAAGACAATACGTAGGCCATCAGTCTCTCTGTGCTATTGCTATTGTATCTGTACCTGACTGTGCAGGTTCTGCTGATCGGTATGTATGAGAACCTGAGGGAAGAATGTAGGACCAAACTCCTCTTGGTGGTGATCAGTGACAGATCAAGGGATAATGGGTATATTAATTAAAAACACAGGGAGTTTCACCTCCATATAAGGAAGAACTTTTCCTGTGAGGGTGACAGAGTCCAAGAACAGGCTGACCAGGGAGGTTGTGGAGTCTCCTTCTCTGAAGATTTTCCAAACCCATGTGGATGCCACCCTGTGCCACGTGCTCTAGGTGTTCCCTGCTGGAGAAGGGGTCTTGGACTAGGTGATCTCTGGAGGTCCCTTCCAACCTCAACCATTCTGTGATTCTGTATACATGCACTAATTAAATACAAGAGCAAAAGCTTATCATCACCCAAGCAGATTTAAAAATAGTGCAAAAAGCATTATTTTGTCTAGACATCATTTTCTTTCATTAGTCTAGTTAAGGTTCTAGTTACTATTATAGCTGAATAATCAAAGTAATGAAATACAGAAGCTGAAGTATCATCCAGCTCAAACATGAGGATGCAATTCTTGAGAGGAAAATATGCTGAAGAAACAAGAAATACTTTAAATCATTCACTTTCTTTCACTTCTGCCTCTTCATTGGTATGAGTTTGACACTCTTCCCTCCAGCAGCAGAAGCCAAGCTCCCAAGCAAGTGACACACTTCCTTCTATGCTCTTTCAGAATATGGAATTCATTTCCTTGCATCCTAAAAGGAGTTAAACTCTCATTCTGACTCTCCTGATTTTATGAGGAAATTTCCATCTGAACTCAAATCATTAAGTACTGAAGGGTTGCAAGGTGGCTCATTACACCTGCAAATGATCAAAATATTGGAAGGTAATCAATACTCTGGTCAAAGATAAGTTTAGGTGCACTTACTCCCAGAATTCCATGACTGGAGAAGTGGCATTTTGTAAAGAGACTTGACTGCAGTTGCTTATATTAAGCTTTTGAAATTCCACACAGTTTTCTGCAAAAGAACAACAACAAAAAAGTTTTCTTTATGACATATAAGTTCATTTCTTATTGTAGTATGCACGTCTTGTAAAGGCATCCATTCTGTAATATAAAGGATTTCTAAATAAAATACTACAGCCATATAATAGCATGGTTTATTTTGATCACTAGATCACAGATCCATTCCCCAAAGATATTAATGCAGTATGATACATTCTCCTACACCTTCCACATGCAAAATGGCTTTGAGCTGATTTTTGGGGAATTAAGACATATTACTTCTCCAACAGATGCTTCAAAGCCCAGTGGCAACAGTTAGTTCATGAAACACTGCCAGCAACAAGTTTCTAGTTTGCTTTAATATGGCAAATATAAAGCCAATCTTTGGCTTATTATTTCTAACAGAGAAAGAAGATCACAGCAGGTCAGCATTTTTGACATTTACTATTTGAACAACAATCAGCACTGGCTGCGGTTCTTTACAGCGATGCCAGAAACAATACTGGGGCCTTCCAGACTTAGTGGGTCCAAGGCTAGCTAGTTCCTTGACATAACCCAAATGGCACAAGAGTTCAGATTGAGGCTTGGGTGTACTCAAGGAACATAATAACCAGTAAAAAGGAGCCATAAAAGACACTATAATTGGCACACAACRTGAAATTAGACAGGAAAAAAAGGCAAAATATCAAGAACACAAAAATGAAGCGCGTTAGTATACATTTCCTCCCATGGACCTTTGCGATCTTAAAGAGCAGTAAGTACAATTCCTTAGATAAATTTATTGATGAGAAGATAAATGCAGACCCCCATACTGTAATCTTATAAGTACATATTTAATCTTTGATATAAAATGCTATTTTGCATGCGGTAAGGATTATGTTGCTAAATTTTCAGTAGCAGTAAAAACAAAATATTTATTTATTCTTATTTTACATCTTCCTTTCCATTTAAACTCCTACCAATTTCACCTAGAGTGAAAAAACAAGATTGTAACTTGTCGTTCAAATCTATATATGATGTCATCTTTTTGCCTCTATTCTTGTAGCAAAGATACGGGAATCAATCTAGAGCAACAATCTCTATTGAGGTCATACCTGTATTCCATTCATGTCCACAGGTAGCCCAAGGAAGCTCTGTAGTAAAGCAGTTAAACAGATAGAAGATAGCCCATGCTAAAATGATGATGTAATATACATTTAAATGTGCCTCTATAACTTGGGTAGCATATCCAATGCCTGGAGGAGRAAAAAAAGGGAGGAGGGATACAAACACAAAAAGAAATGTTTAATTTTATCAGGTCATTTTAAGAAAGCAAACACTCACTACTTTATGTCTTATCTTCAATCTTTATATGATAGCTTTTACTTTAGTTTTGATTTAGTAACTTCTTTTGCAGTAGAGCAGAGAATTCTTTGTTACCTTCAAATAGAGGGCAAACTTTCCTCCAGCATGTAATACCACCTTCGCTAGTAAACTGTCCCAAGGCCGTTTCCAGGAAAAATACTGGTATTCCACAGCAAATAAAGAAAACCACATATGGGATGAGGAAAGCACCTATAAGCAAACACAAGGGKGTACTTGTTACAGAGTTCCATGACAGTTTAGTTGAAATTCATTTTCTTAATAAAGGAGGATCACCTGTCAGTCAACTCACAGATGATGTGCTGAAAGGGTAGAAGAGTGCTTATACCTGTCCCTAAATGTTGAAAGTTAACTTTTATGCCAGAATTGAGGGGCTAAAAAGAGCAAAACCAAGTTTCTTCATAATACATTAAATTCTGCTCGTATTTCTCCAAAACATAGTGAAAAATACATTCTTGTTCAGCCACACAATTCTGCTATGATCGTTCAATATTTTTAATAGATGGCTGACAGTCTGTTGCAACATAGATGAGTAGTACAATTCAGTGCTGAAGAGCTGTACTGTACAAAATATTTTTCTCTATTTTTTGCAAAAGTATAGCATTATTTCTGATTAATTATTTTATTACATATGGCACCTACAGAATATGGTTGGGAAGTATGCAGAGGCAAAGAAGCAACAGAGCACACATACATGCTAGGCAGAATGTCTATTGCCAGTGGAGGTGCAAACCTAATAGTAATGCAGTTTTTACTTACTCTGTTGAGAAGTGAACCTAAATACCAAGGAATGAGATACAGCCATTCTACTATTAAGAGAACCAGTGAATATATAAAGCCTTTTTTTCTCATTCCCTGGATCCTCAGCTTCCCTGATGAGTCAAAGGGTGAGGTGTAAATCAAATAACTCTATGTGTTTTGATTGAAACAAGAGGGAAATAAATACTAATAAAGTATAAAATATATATCTTTTTTTACTTATACCAATAAATAATGTTTCAGCAATTTAGCCAGACTAAAACAGTAAAGCACTACACAAAATGCACAGTTGTATGCAAACAACAAAGCATTAATTTTCTAATTAGATTATGACAGTAAAGGTTAGTACAAGATACATAATGCAGTGTATCCAGGCCTACTTATTCCTGAACATATAATCTCAGAATTAATCAATGCTGCTTCTAAATCATATAATTACCCTGCCCCACTCAATTTCAAATCAACACAAGGTGTGCTAAAATCAGAAGTTTTGACAGATGCAGTTTTTCTACAAAGACACAAAGACTTGGTTAGCAACAGCCTCTGTACTACTAAACCTTTATCAGAATCTTAGCTATAAGCAAAATGCTTCCAAATATTTCAGGAAAATTTCTACAACTATGCAGTAAACATGGAGGATATCCATGATCATAAAAAGTAGTTGTTTTAATCACTTTGACTTAGAAAGGAGAAACAACTAAGCACATCTGCTTTGCAAAGTTCTATGTAACATCCTCAGGACCTGTAATTTCTTTCTTTAGACACTGCACATAAAGAGAGATCTGTTCATAAATAATCTCTTCCCTCAACCAGGCGATCTGCCTGTAGTTGAATCTCAGATGTATCTTGAGTAATACATATATATTTCCACAGAGAAGAGAATCCATATATCTAAAAAATGACTTCTCCATATGATATGCAAACAGCTTAAAATACAGATAGTGATGTGAGAACTGCCGATCAACAGAAAATATAGCTTGGTCCACTCATATGCACAACTCTAGCCCATGAGAACCTGTTCTATTTGAAAGTATTGACTCTGACTACTTTTCCATCACTGATAATACAATCAATATACACCTGGAAAATGAGAGATCAAGCRACTTTGCAAGCCGATCAGATACCTACAAATATGTAATTCAGTATGTTTAAAGGAATTAGTTTTGTGAATAGATTACCAAATACCAGTAAGAACAAACTAAAATTAAAGAAGCTTATGTCTGTGTTACATACTATGACCTGAGAGAGAGCTCACACCTTGGAAGTTCCAAGTGTCTACTGTTTCAGGATTGCTTCCACACCTGATCAARTTATTTCATAACTACCTCCCATTTCTCAACATGGTACTTCACTTACTACCTACTAGCTTTCACCGTTCACATCTGATGAATCAAACAAGTCCAACTTTAGTCGAAATCCTGCATGGCATGAGTGTAACAAAAATGGAGCTGAAGATGCATCATAGATCAAGAAGTCAATGGCAAATGTTCTATGGTGCTGGGATATGACAATTAAAACACGCATGTTTATTCTGTCTAAAAATATGCAATGGTGATTGAATGTGATCTTAAATGATTTTTCAACAAGTCAACCAAACACAAACGTGTTTTTTTCTGTTTAATGCTATACACTTATGAAWGTATGGCATTTTAAAAAGCTAGCATATACACAACTACAAATCTTCATCACACACTGAAAAAATATTTCTCATATTTTTCCTTCACAGACAAGAAAAAGTTGCTCTGCATGTTGTATCGAGCATATTAACATTTGCATTCTAAAATATTACTGGACAGCATCGTTCTTAAGGGGAATTCTTGCCATCTTGGTTTTGCCAAAGTATTGAACTATAAAGAAAGGAGAGGAACCTATTGTGCATTAGTCCTTAGAAACTGCAAACAAAATAGGCCAAAACCGTCCCTGGGTCCAGACAACCATGCCTAGTTTTGGAGGAATAAGGGAAAGAAATTTGGAACTGCACTGTTAAAAAACAGATCTTTGCATATGAGCCATTGAATACGTATATTTACACTGCATCAGGCCTTAAGTGCTGAATCCCRTTCACAGCATTTCTATTTTTTTCTTTCCTCATTGCTACTTGAGTACTCTTCTTTGAGTAACAGGGAGCTTGATATCTTCCCCCACTCTAGTGTAGTGATTTGAGGAATAGTTACTAATCAAGGTACAATTAATTAAAGGATTTTTTATAAGGAAAATCCTTATATTTGTTGCATTATCAAAAATACTGTTCATCCTCTCGTAAGTATGTTGTTTTGGAAAATAAGCTGCTGTTTTCTTTTCCATGCTAGACAAAACTCAAATATGCACAGGTCTCTACTCGCATGCAGAAGAAAACATAGCATAGTCTACTTTAACAGAACATTTTTCTTATAGATTAAAAATTTTACAGCTAAAAAAATTCACAAATGCACAAAACTTCTGCAAGGAATTCCCACAACATCTGGGGAAGAGGGGGAAACAGGAAACCATGTTTCTTCCTACTTCTCAGTTGCTTACTGTTTCCTCATCTACATATACAGTGAAATCCTGAATGTTTATCTTCTAAAAATAGTGCAAAGCACCATTGCAGAGTGTTTTTAACTATTTACCAAGTGTTTATAGGATGCCATCTTACCTCCACCATTCTTGTAGCAAAGATATGGAAATCTCCATACATTTCCCAGACCAATAATCTCCCCTGCCACAGAAAGCACAAATTCAACCTTATTGTTCCAGTGGCCTCTTTCATGAACTTTCTTATCATTGCGGTGAACAAGGTTTGTACTGGAGGCTTCTGGGTCCAAAACATCTTCTGGCTTGCCGTTAATTATGGGAATAGTCTTTTCAGCTGTCATGACTATTCAGCCTGAAGGAAAACAGAAGAAAGACATATAGGTATTTTAAGGCACATCAACCACTAGGAAGTCCCACAGGGTATCTTTGACTTCAATATAGTTATTATCTACACACAGTTGCAGGTGAAAGCAAAGAGGTAATTTTGAAAGGCTAAAGAAAGAAAAAAAAAGAAAAAGGGAAAAAATAAGCTTGCGCATAGGAGAGAAGAAGGGTTCTGAGTTAAGAGATAGAACATGCTAGCAAGACACTATCTTAGGACTTGGATAGTGGAAGCTTTCAAAAATCCACCCCGCAGCAAGGATCCGAACTTGACTAACCTCACTAAAGACACGGATCTCCTACACCTATGTGCACAAACAAGGCAAGAAAAGAATGTGAAGATAGACTGAATAGCTTCTGGCCTTCCTGAAAGAGTAACGGAGCTCCCAAATTACTCACCCAGGGCTCTGCCTGTGCCTGCGCGACTGGGAGAGGGACAGGCTTTCTAGCCCTGTGCTCAGCTCCGAGTGCCCTGCTGCTCTGCTGTACAGGAGCTCGGGGCAGGACAGCCGCAGGCAGCAGAGGCAGGCAGCAGGAGGTGGGTGTGAGGATAACGAGGAGCTGAGAAGCCTTGTCCTGCTCTGCAGCTGCCGCCTTCACCCAGCCAGACGACAGGGATAGGATCCCGCTCCCCACGCTCTGAAGCCAGAATCTGCAAATGCTCAGCCTTCCCCAGAGCACTGCTATAACACCCACCTCCCCCCTCCGCCCAGCTCAGGCTGTCCCACCAGCTCCCCCCTCCTCCTCTTCCCTCTCCTCCTCCGCTAGCCTGCATCGCTGCCTGAGCATCCCCAGGCTCTCTTTCCCCACCCTGTGCAGAGCAACCAAGGCCAAGCAGCRGAAAGGATTCAACCCCGCTTTTAGCACCCTTTGCCTCCCCCCGACCCCACGCGAGAAGGAGGTGACCTGCATGCAGCTTGCGGAGGAAGAGCTGCCCGAACGGGGCGGAGAGCGCGGCGGCGGCAGCAGCAGCGAGGCGCGCACCTGCCGCCCAGCTTGCTGCAGCGCCGGGGGAGGCTGGCAGGGCCCCCG